ATACCCTGTTGTGTATCTGGTAGAGCTGGTAGAGCTCATGGTGCTGGTAGGTGAGGAGCGCTCTCCCTAGGGACGTAGCCCTTGGGCCCCAGGTCCTGCTGCTGTCCCCGTGTCCAGCTGGGCTCGGGTGGGAGGGTGGCACTTGCCATTGCTGCTGGTGGAATGGCGTGGGCAGCCCAAAACCTCCCCTGTCCTCCCTCCTCTTCGTGCACACCGAGAGCTCAAGGTGTAGCTCTGGTGATACCTCTCAGCCTCACAAATAGCAATGTTTTCCTCATTTTGCAGACTTGCCAGGCTGGTTTGGGTCTGCTTAGACCCATCTAATCTCTGAAGTGCCCAGAGGGTCACGTTCCTACAGCAGTAGACTCTTGTGCTAGCTGGAGGAAAAACCTGGTTAGTAGATGAGGGATGGTACAGAGTCCATGGTGTTTTGTGTCGTCTGGATGATTAGGGTGGGATGGATCACACCAGCCTGTGTATTTCCCTGTGCCCTTCCCAGAATAAATGTTCTTTCTTAGGCTCATATTTACTGTTGAATGTTATTTGACAGGGCAAATATTTACCTGCAATAATACTGCAAATCTCTATCCTTCTCAATGTGAATAATGCTTCTCTGAATCGATGCTCGGCTGCAGCTCCTGGGTCCTCGTGGATAATCACACAGAGCATGACTCAGTGAAGAATTGGGGTCGCTGGACATTTGCCATGCTGCTGAGGAGAACAATCTCCCAGGTCCTTGGTCAAGTCATGTCCTCTCTGATTAATACCCACACAGGGTGAAGAGATGGTGCTGCCTGGCTGCTGTAGAGTGTTTGGTAAAGAAGGACAGCCCTTTCCTCCCCTCTCGAGAGGGGGGAGGCAGGAAAAAGCTAACGGCTTAATTTGTAGACACACTTAACACTTGCAGTTCCCTCCCGAGTCACCTGCACGGTGAATTCTTAGTGTCCTTTAAAGCACGGCTGTGGTTGTGGCTTTGGTGGCATCACAGCTGGTCCCTCAAGAGCTGCACTGTGTTAAGGCATGGACATCCCTTCGGCTCAGCTCAGCTGGGTGTGCAAAGCTGCCTTTCCACTGCGCAGGGATGGGTGGAGGGACCCAAACCAGCCCCTCTTCGCTCTCCTTGCTGGGAATGCTTCACTGGGCCCCGGTTAGGCAAGAAAAATTGTTTTTAAGTACAATTTTGCTGCTGTTGGAGGTTGGTCATACCTTCAGCGATGCCATCCTGCAGCATCACCGTGCAAACAACGTCTCTCAGGGCAGTTCAGGACATCCCCAGAGGTGGGGCACAGAGATGGGGGGGGGTCTGAGGGCAAGGGGACAGTCAGAGAAGGGCAACTGTCCCCTCTCTGCGTGTGCTTGGCTTGTCCCCACTGCTCCATCGTGCTGCAGAAGGTGGGTTTGCCTTTCCAAGCATCACCCATCTGCCCTGCAGTGCCAGCCGGGAGAGGGTTCACAAGAAGAGCCTTGTTGTTTCAGCTGATTTCAGGGTTTTAATTTGAAGAGGAATAATGTGTAATCACAACAACTATCATCTGTTTGGCAGTGGAAAATCCTAGATCTTCCACGTTTTTTGTGTGTACCATCACGGACAGCCTTTTAGCAGAGCGAGCTTCTCCATGCTGGCCTTTGGAGTCCTGGTGGGATGAATGGGTTCAGACCAGCTTACTAATCTAATTTGTAATGTATCCTTATAATGTATAATTGGCTGTTTAATTTAATTCAAATTAACATAAGAATAGAAAATATAATCTGCAGGGCCAGCCCACGTGGTGGCAGACAGGGGTGTTGGGTGTTCCTGGTTGGAAACAGTGTCATGAGACCGCCCTTCGTGGGGACGGAGCCGTCACCCTGTTGATAGGCACAGCGTGTGACAATAAATCCCCCCCCTTTCCCACCCTGCCGAGTGTGTATCTGTCTCATCTCCCTTCCTTATCTTCCTGGCCATCTATTTAAAACATATATAGAATAAACGCAGCTTGCTTTGGAAAAATTGTTCGCTGGGGTGTCAGAGCTGGCAGGCGCCGGGGCTGATGGTGTTGATTGGATATTGTCTAATCTGATTTTGATTGTGTACGGCTTTGATTGCGATTTGATATGTCTGCACAATACTGGAGCTGGTCGGAAAGCTTTGTGATTTAAACAGGTTGGGTTTTGGGGTTTTTCCTCCCCACCCCTCCCCGGCTGAATAGAGCAGAGTCAGAAACCTGCAGGGGGGGGGTTGAGTGGGACAAAACCGCCTCAAAGCCCTCGGGTGAGCTGCTCTGCAGCAGCAGCAGCACAAGAAACTTGTAGTTTTGAAGAGAGCTTTAGGAAACTTTGAGTGGGTTTTACATAATTTCGTTAAGTACGGCAAAGCCACTTGGTTATATACCTGATACCAAAATAAACCAGTTGGAGGAACAAGTTTGCTGCGCAGTGATTTATTCAAATCCCTTTCCATAAAGCACGGAGTGAAATCCTCTTAAATAACTGAGAAAGAATCGCTGTACCTCGAAGAGCGTAGCCCGAACGGCAGCCCAACTACTAGATGTATTAAATGGGATCTGTCTGTCTGCTGTTGTGTACATGCTCCCTGCCTCCCTCCTATAATGCTGCTGCTGCCAGACAGAACCTGGCTGGAAAAAGAGCTGGGCTTGAATTTCCCCTGAACAATAACTTGCTATGGAGCTACCTCAGCCCGGGCTCCGGCTTGGATTTCGTGCATAGTCCTGTTTTCCCTGCAGCCAGTGGGAGTTTCACAGAATCACAGAATCACAGAATCTTCTAGGTTGGAAGGGACCTTAAAGATCATCTTGTCCAACCGTCAACCTGACTGACAAAAATAGACACCCACACAACAAACAAGGAGCATCATCACTAAACCAGACCTCCCAGCACTACATCAACCTGTCTTTTGAACACCTCCAGGGATGGGGCCTCAACCCCCTCCCTGGGCAGCCCATTCCAATGCCTGAGAACCCTTTCAGTGAAAAAATTTTTCCTAATCTCCAGCCTGAACCTCCCCTGGGGCAACTTGAGGCCATTTCCTCTTGTCCTGTTGCCTGTGACTTGAGAGAAGAGACCGACCCCCACCTCTCTACACCCTCCTTTCAGGGAGTTGTAGAGAGCAATGAGGTCTCCCCTCAGCCTCCTCTTCTCCAGGCTGAACACCCCCAGCTCCCTCAGCCTCTCCTCACAAGACTTATTCTCCAGACCCCTCACCAGCTTTGTCGCCCTTCTCTGGACCCGCTCCAGCACCTCAATGTCTTTTTTATGGTAGGGGGCCCAGGGGCTCAGGGGAACGTGAAGGGTCGGGTGGGATGTGTGGTACCTGCTCTGTTCTTCCTCTCATTTTGGGAGGGGAGAGGTGGAGGCTGACCAGAGAGGCACCCGCTCCCGGGAGGGACCCCCTGCTCTGACCCCCATGGGGACACATCTCTCCCAAGGTAATGCTGGAGCAATCCCACTGGGAGCCTTCCCCCCCATCCACACGCAGCCCCTCCTGCTCCCCTCTGCCCCTTCTGCTGACTTCTGTATTCCGGTTAAACCTGGGGCTTATTTGATTTTATGAAGGGTTTTCTCCCCGCAGTCTGGGGTGATGGAGAGCGTGGATCCGAGTGTGAGCTCTGGGGCAAAGGATTAATAAAGCCGACAGCGCTTAACTGGTTTCGCACACATCTGGGGTTTTGCTCTTAAATCAAGTATTAAGTCAAAATCCAACCGTGAAACTAGGTGATCTGAGAAATTTAGCTTAAAATCCATGTGTATAATACTATGGCTAATCAGAATTTCATATGCTACAATAGTAAGTGAAACAGTAGATGTTTAGAATAAGCCTCCTCTGCCAGAGACTCATTATATTCCGCTTCGATAATTAATAATTTTGGATAGATTCACCCTTACATTATGAAGCAAATATGTTTTTGTCTGAAGTGAAAACGACGGTACAGGTGCAGTAACATATTCTTCCTCCATATAAATTGGAACTTACTTGGAAGTAAACAGGCAGCCAGAAAACACAGGCAGCAGAAGGAGCACCAACATCCCTGCGTGTCCATGGCCATCTCAAGGGAGCACTGGTGGGGAGTGCTCGTTCCAAGTAACATTTGGATGAGGGTATAAAGAAGGACAAGTCTCCGTATGTGGTGGAGTCATGCCAGCTTTCTTTAAAGGATTTGAAAACCACAGCATGGGTGTGTTTCCACATCTCTCCCTGGTTTAATAGGACGAGGGGTAGTGGTTTTACACGGAAAGAGGGGAGATTGAGAGGAGATGTGGGAAGAACTTCTTTGCTGTGAGGGTGGTGAGAGCCTGGCCCAGGTTGCCCAGAGAAGCTGTGGCTGCCCCATCCCTGGAGGGGTTCAAGGCCAGGTTGGAGGGGGCTTGGAGCAACCTGTTCTGGTGGGAGGTGTCCCTGCCCAGGGCAGGGGGTGGCACTGGTTGGGCTTTAAGGTCCCTTCCAGCCTGAACCATTCTATGATTATAATTTTGTTCCCACATCCTAGTTAGTCCTACGGAACTAATTCTCATAAAAACTCTTGAAAATACAAACTGAAGGTACTGTGGGAGCTGAGGAAGCTGCCCAGAGAGGTGCTTTGCATTAAAAATGCCACAGCTGGTTGGGAATGGGCCACGCCGTTTAGCGGCCATGGGCTCTACGAGCATCACTGGGCTGGCTCCCATCAGGGCAGGGGAGGGCTCTGCTGAGGTTTCGGGGAGCTAAAGATGCACTAGAAGGATGCAGCTTGGAAAAGGGGAGCAGTGTGCGTGCCCCAGGCTGGTCTGAGGTGTGTGAGGGCCCGTGGTGTCCCTGGCAGACGGTGGAGCCCTCCCACATTCACTACCTGGCTCCGATGTAGTTAGGACCTGGTGGTGTCTGGGGCTGGGGCTGTCTTTTTCATTAAAACAAAACCATTTTCACTGGAATGTGCTTTTCTGTTTCTTACACAAATAGTCCCTTTTCTTTGCTGAAGCAATGAGGCAGTGACACGTTGCAAAATGTCTTTTTTTTTATATTTTAGACGTATAACGGTCAGAATGAGAATAACGAAGACTATGAGATCCCTCCCATAACGCCTCCTAACCTCCCTGACCCTTCCCTCCTGCACTTGGTGGATCACGAAACTGGATATCACTCCCTGTGCCACAGCCTCCCTCCAAACAGCCTGATACCAGCGTACCCCTACCAGAACATGGACCTGCCGGCCATCATGGTCTCCAACATGTTGAGTCAGGATGGACATCTTCTCTCCAGCCAGCTACCCACGGTCAGTGCCATTTCTCTCTTGCTATTTTCCATTTAAGCCATTTCATATGTCATGTTAGGAGTTCAGCTGAATGTAGGAGGATGTTAAGGATGAGAAATTTGCACTGCAGGTTGGGAAGAGCTGGTGACACAGCCTTGATGTACCCACCAAGATTGGGGGGCGGTGGCAGTAGCTGCAGTCACCTGTGTGACCCGTGCTCATGGTGGCAATTTTATGTTTCCAGTTTGGTGTCTTCCTGAGCCTTATTAATCACTCAAGAGCAGGGGGGAGGTTGTTTTTAATACCCTCACTGAACCAAGCAAAGTGTGTGTGCTCCAACCCCATGTGAAGGTGACCCACTGAAGCCCCAAGTTCATATCCCCAGTGCTCCTGCTGGGAAAGCCCCCAGCCTGTCACCCCACATCCTACTGCCAGGGTGGCCCCAGTGGCATCAGGAAGAGAAGCAGGGATGCCCCGTGACGGGAAAGTTGTCCTATTGATTTCGAGGGGAACAAGATCCCTCTGGCACTTGCAAACTCAAATTGCCTCTTGGCTCGCACGGCAGCAAGGGGATACCTCGCAAAGTTTCTAATGTCTCTTTGGTAGGAATAAATAAGGCAGGAATAATGAGGTAAAGTGCAGCTCTGGGAAGAAACTTCAGGGCTAATTAGACCTTACGACGCTTCTGTATCAGCAGCACCGGGGAAAGGTTGTGACTTGATTGTGACGGTGGTATTGAATTAATACTGTTGCTGTTTAATAATGTTTTCCTCTTTAGCGGATTGAGCCCTATGGTTCGTTGTCGACATTATTTCTCTCTAAGATCATTGATTTCCATGGGTGCGGTTGGAAGGCATCGATATCAAACAGAGTTAATTTTACTTAAATAGCATGCCTGCGAGCCTGCCGCTGCGCGAGCCGGAGAACATTTGGTATTGATTGCTTGAATAGATAACGGTCTGAAAGGTAGCGATATTTAAATATTTAAATGGAATATTATCTCTCAGTCTAGGAAAATCCAAGGCTTTCTAAAGTCTCGATGCGTCTCCAAGTTTCATTGTTGGTGTGTTTAAGAAAAATATCATGTTCTGCCCATCAATATTGAACACAGGCTTATTTCTATGGAATTAAATATTACTTAGTCCTCTTTTAGGTTCTTAGGTGATTAAAACATTCATTTCTGAGACAAAAAGAGTCAATTTCAGATGAAATATTTTTCCGTGGTTTAATTTAAAGCACAGCCCCTGTGCCTGACCCCTATTTTCATAACACAATAATTTTATCCTGTGTTGATTGTCTCATTTTTGAGAGGTGATATTGCACTTATAAATCACTTTCTAAAATACCTAAAGAAACAAGAATAGTGGGATTTATTAAGCAGCTTCTGTACATCAGAAATAATTTATTTTGGAGTAGTCCTTGGGAAATGTTCTCTTTCTTACTTTATGGTACTGTTTTACAAATGCAGCATCGTGACAATAAATCAGGACCGAGGCAGAGGAGATAAGAAGGGGGCTTAGTGGCCTGTAAACGTAGAATAGAGAGATTAAGATTTGTTTGCCCCTTACCACGAAAATAAAAAATCCAGTGAACCCTGAATTTTCCAGCCTATAGTGAATTGAAACTGTTTAGTTTTGAGTGGAAACCCTGGGAGCTGCAATACATCTTCAGAAGTCCCGGCAGCAAAGGAAGTAGATCGGGGGTGAACTGTGTTGCAGTTTTAGATCAAAATGAAACCCGGCCGTACCTTCTTGTCAAAGACTTTTTTTCCATGCTGCCAGACTTCTCCTGCCAAAAAGTAACACCTTCTAGTCCCTTTTATTTTTGGGGTGCCTGAATGAAGAGCGGCTGAAGGAGCTGGGGCTGTTTAGTCTGAGGAAGAGGAGGCTGAGGGGAGACCTCATCACTCTCTACAACTACTTGAAAGGACACTGTAGAGAGGTTGGTGCTGGTCTCTTCTCACAGGTAATTAACAATAGAACGAGAGGGAATGGCTTCAAGCTCCAACAGGGGAGGTTTAGACTGAACATTAGGAAGGAATTTTTCACCGAAAGAGTGGTCGGGCATTGGAACAGGCTGCCCAGGGAGGGGGTGGAGTCACCATCCCTGGCTGTGTTTAAGGGCCGTTTAGATGCAGTGCTGAGGGACATGGTGTAGGGGAGGACTTTGTAGAGTAGGGGAGATGGTTGGACTCGATGATCCCAAGGGTCTCTTCCAACCTCAATGATTCTGTGATTCTATGAATCGAGCTCTCCCTGCTCCAGCCTTTGGTGGCAGCGTTTGTCCCACAGCACACCTACAGCTCCTGTCAGCGGTAACGGGAGCAGCGCATGCACATGAGGGAACAATCCAATCCTGGAGACAGAGCAGATTTTTAACCTCATATGGTTCACATGTTGTGCCCTCGTGCCCATCGAGCCATAGCCCACTTGGTGGTGGCCCCAAGAAGCCTTGCTGGATGCTTTGGGCATCCCTATGGGTGACATTACGACGTGCTGCCACCCTGCCTGAGAAGTCAACCCCTTCGGGTGGGTGTTTGCAGCAAAGGAAGGGGCTTGTTTGCTGAGGGTTCCCAAAAAGAGAGGATTTCTTGCCCCACGAGTGGCAGGAAGAAGCCTGAGCACTGCAGAGGATTTGCCTTTGTTCCAGGACCGACATTGCTCATGCAAATGCTGGAGCCTTGAGCATCTCTCCTTGCTGCTGCTGCTGCTGCTTTTTGCTCTAGTTCATAGTGGTGTTTTTTTCATACGTAGCTATTTCCTGCCTTGGCTGCCATGTCTTTTGGTTTTATACAGTGACAAATGACACGCAATGTAAGGTAAAATGTTTAGAAGTTGGTTAGACTTTTCCTCTAAAAATGTAGCTTGAGCCTTGGGATGTTTTTTAAGGCATCCTCATGAAAAAATCTCCACCTGCTGAAAAGAAGCGAGCTGGGGCTCGCTGGGAGCTATGGAACTGGTATTTTCCTCTACAACTCAGCAGTGAATAAGGAAAATACAGGTGCAGGTTGGTGGCCCCTTTGGCGTGTCTCTTGTTCTGGGATGTTCCAACATTATCACTAGGTTGAATGAAGCCTCCCTCCTGCAAGGGAGGAGCTGCTGCTCCCATTACGCAGATGAATACCAAGGCAGAGTGGGTTTAAATCAGGGCAGAAATCCCCATGGTGGATAAGAGCTGGAGAGGGAAGGTGGGTTTGCTGCATGCCAGACCCCACTCCTGGCTCCTGCCCAGCCGTGGGGTGTCAGGAGCTGGAGCCCCTCATTCAAGAAAAGGAGCTGTACCCCTGATGGGGAAAAACCAAAGCCACTGTCACCTCTGCATTTCCTTCCCCCTCAATCATCATCACCCAGAGCACCCTCCACACCATTGGCCTCTGCTAAGCCAGGACACGCTTCACTCTGCCCCGTGGACCAGCTCTACACTTCCATCACGTGGGTCTTCGCTGCTGTTTCTGTCACTTTATTTCATGATTATTCATTAATTAATTATTGTCAATAATTTTTTAGAAATCAAGGGAGTTTTCGAACACTGAAGGTGGGGTGCAGGGAGCTGGAGAGGAGAGAAGCAGGGATGGGTGGAGAAGAGAAGGCAGAGACATGGCAGAAGACATGACGTTAGGAAGGCTGATGGAGCTGGGTGCAAGGAGTCTGGGGAGGAGACAGGGCTCGTTTGGGGGAGGTGGGTTATTTTTTGTGTTGGTGACAAGAAACAAAGAAAATTCTTAATACAGTGGATTATTTTTTACTGCTGTCTGCTCCTTTGCTGTGGGGAAGGAGGAGGGAAAGAGGAGTGTCATGGCAGAAAGGACAGACAATAGGAGAGCTGTGATTTCATTGAGAAATGGGAATATTAAGGGGAAAATAATCAAAGAGGAAAAAAAGGTGTTTTCCTTGGAAAGAGAATGACTTTGCCCACTCTGAACATCCCAGCAGTGTCACGGTGTGGACAAGTGGCTGCTGAGCCCTCTGGGGGTCCGCAGAGAGAGCTGCTGGGGCTGGGACCTGGGGGCCACGGGCACCTGGGGAAAGCAGGGGGGGGGACAGAGAAACACCACGAATCGGTGGCGATGGCCAGCAGGTAAAGGAGCTGCTGTGAATAAATGGGATTTCAGAAGGGATTTGGCAGAACATATTTGACAGAAACAAAGGGCGATCAAGGTCAGAGCCCAGGAATCTCCAATGCAGAGCAAACATATTTACATAAATCATAGAATCATAGAATCGTCTAAGTTGGAAGAGACCCTTGGGATCATCAAGTCCAACCATCTCCCCTACTCTACAAAGTCCTCCCCTACACCATGTCCCTCAGTACCGCATCTAAACGGCCCTTAAACACAGCCAGGGATGGGGACTCCACCCCCTCCCTGGGCAGCCTGTTCCAATGCCCGACCACTCTTTCTGTGAAAAATTCCTTCCTAATGTTCAATCTAAACCTCCCCTGTTGGAGCTTGAAGCCGTTCCCTCTCGTTCTGTCACTAATTACCTGTGAGAAGAGACCAGCACCAACCTCTCTACAGTGTCCTTTCACGAAGTTGTAGAGAGTGATGAGGTCTCCCCTCAGCCTCCTCTTCCTCACACTAAACAGCCCCAACTCCCTCAGCCGCTCCTCATACGATTTGTTTTCCAGCCCCCTCACCAGTTTCGTTGCCCTCCTCTGCACTCGCTCCAGCACCTCCAGATCTCTCTTGGATTGAGGTGCCCAGAACTGGACACATATATTAGATAGTGGCTGAGCACGCTGGGGGTATCTCTGCTTATCGGGGGGGGGGACGGTGCCTGAGTGCTGGGGGGACCATGGGTGAGGGACAAGACTGCCTGGAGCCTGCCACCACTGCTGAGAAACCCCCCAACTTTGTGCTTCTCCAAGCCTGGTCAAAAGACCTTGCCATGCTGGGGCACGTTGAAAAATCATCCCGTCTTCCCATGGTGTGTGTTGTGGGTCTGCAGCTGCTCTGCTCCTTCCCTGCTTTGGGTTGCTGGGTGAAATTAGGGCAGAACCATCTATTTTTTGCATCATTTTGG